CTTATGCTTCTTGTCAGTTGAAGCCCCATGAGAAGAACTACCCCGTTCATGATTTGGAGTTGGCTGGCATAGTTCACGCGTTGAAGATTTGGAGGCATTACTTATATGGTGTGTCCTGTGAGGTGTTTACTGATCATCATAGCCTCCAGCACTTGTTCAAGTAGAAGGATCTTAATTTGAGGCAGCGGAGGTAGTTTGAGTTGTTAAAGGATTATGATATCACTATATTGTACCATCTGGGGAAGGGTAATGTGGTGGCCCATGCTTTGAGCCGAAAGGCAGTGATTATGGGGAGTTTGGCATATATTCCAGTTGGGGAGAGACCTTTTGCAGTTGATGTTCAGGCCTTGATCAATCGGTTTGTAAAGTTAGATATTTCGGAGCCCTATCGGGTATTGGCTTGTGTGGTCTCTCGGTCTTCCTTATATGATCGCATCAGAGAGCACCAATATGATGATCCGTATTTTCTCGTCCTTAAGGACAAAGTTCAGCACGATGATGCTAGAGATGTGACCGTTGGTGATGATGGGGTGTTGAGGTTGTAGGGCTGGATATGTGTGCCCAATGTAGATGGACTTCGAGAGTTGATTCTGGAGGAGGCTCATAGCTCGCGGTATTCCATTCATCCGGTTCTGAAGATGTATCAGGATTTGAGACAGCATTATTGGTAGAGAAGAATGAAGAAGGATATTATGGGATTTGTAGCTCGGTAATTCAATTGTCAGTAGGTGAAATATGAGCATCAGAGGCCGGGTGGCTTGCTTCAGCGGATGAATATTCCGGAGTGAAAGTGGGAGCGGATCACCATGGACTTTGTAGTTGGGCTCCCACAGACTTTGAAGAAGTTCGATGCTATTTGGGTGATTGTGGATTAGCTGACCAAGTCCGCGCACTTTCATTCCTCTGTGTACTACCTATTCTTCAGAGTGGCTGACAGAGATCTATATCCGGGAGATTATTCATTTGCATGGTGTCCCAGTTTCCATCATTTCTGATAAGGGCACTCAGTTTACTTCGCAGTTTTGGAGGTTTGTGCAGCGAAAGTTGGGTACTCAGGTTGATTTAAGCACAACCTTTCACCCTCAGACGGGCGGGCAGTCCGTGCGCATTATTCAGATATTGGAGGACATGTTGCATGCTTGTGTCATTGATTTTGGAGGGTCATGGGATTAGTTTCTACCACTTGCAGAGTTTGCTTATAACAACAGCTACCAGTCGAGTATTCAGATGGTTCCAAATGAGGCTTTGTATGGAAGGCAGTGTAGATCTCCAGTTGGTTGGTTTGAGTTGGGTGAGGCTAGGCTATTGGGGACAGACTTGGTGCAGGATGCTTTAGAAAAGGTGAAGGTATTCAGGAGAGGCTTCGTACAGCGCAGTCGAGGCAAAAGAGTTATGCTGATAGGAAGGTTTGAGATGCGTCCTACATGGTTGGTGAGAAGGTTCTGTTGAAGGTTTCACCCATGAAGGGTGTTATGAGGTTTGGGAAGAAGGTTAAATTGAGTCATCTGTTAATTGGACCTTTTGAGGTGCTTCGGAGGATTGGGGAGGTGACTTATAAGCTTGCTTTTCCACCCAGCTTGTTAAGTGTGCATCCGGTATTTCATGTTTCTATGCTCTGGAAGTATATTAGGGATCCGTCTCATGTTTTGGATTTCAGCACGGTTCCGTTGGATGGTGATTTAACTTATGATGTGGAGCCAACAACTATTTTGGAGCATCTGGTTCAAAAGTTGAGATCAAAAGATATAGCTTCAGTAAAAGAGCAGTGGAAAGGTCGGCCCATGGAGGAGGTTACTGGGAGACCGAGCGAGAGATGCGGAGCAGATATCCTCACCTGTTTGAGGCTTCAAGTATGTTTCTTGACACGTTCGAGGATGAATGTTTGTTTAAGAGGGGGAATATGACAACCCGGCCAGTCGTCTCATGAGTTGCCGCTCTATTTCTCCAATTTCTGCTTCTTATTGCTTTGTTTATCGGTTCTATGAGTGATCGTGTTGGTTTGCTCGGGATCGGAAAGGATTTGGTAAGGTTTGAGACACTTAGTCTCTTTTAAGAAAGCTAAGTTAGAAAAAACAACTGGATGTTGACTTATGTGTTAGAGGGCTCAGATGTGAGTTCCGATGGTTCGGATAGCTTTGGGTGGTGATTTGGGACTTATAAGCATGATTGGAATGTGTTTTGGAGGTCCGGAGTAGATTTAGGCTTGAATTGGCGAAATTGGATTTTTGGCGCTTTCCGATTGATAGGTGAGATTTTGATATAAGGGTCAGAATGGAATTCTGAGAGTTGCAGTAGCTCCGTTGTGTCATTTGGAATGTGTGTCCAAAATTTCAGGTCATTCGGACGTGATTTGGTTGGGTTTTTTTTTATCAAAAGCGTAATTTAGAAGATTTTGAAATTCTTAGGCTTGAATCCGATGCGAATTTGGTGTTTTGATGTTGTTTCGAGCATTCCGAAGGATGGAACAAGTTTAAATGATGTTATGGGATATTTTGGCATGTTTGGTTAAGGTCCCGGGGGCCTCGGGGGAGTTTCGGGTGGTCAATCGGATCAGTTCTAGATGTTGGGAGTTGCAGAAAATTGTTGATCAATGTTGTAGAGAAATGGCCTTCGCATTCGCGAGTAGGCCCTCACATTCGCGAAGGGTTAGTTGAGGAGGCAGATGATTTAGCCTTCGCGTTTGCGAGGAAGGCTCCGCGTTCACGAAGGGCTGAAATGAGGTGCATCGCATTCGCGAGGTGGAGTCGCGTTCGCGTAGAGGGAATTGAGAAGCTGGGTTTGAAGATTGTTTTGTTCATCGCGTTCGCGAGAGAGGGAGCGCGTTCGTGAAGGGTTAGGCTGAGGAACCATCGCGTTCGCGAGAGTCAGGTCGCGTTCGCGTAAGAGGATTTTTGGTCAAAGTTAATTTGTGCTTCATGAACGCGAGGCGTTGATCTCGTTCGCGAAGAAGGAATTGAGGCTTGGGCAGAATGTTTAAATAGTCATCTTGTCCGCGATTTTGGGGTTAACTTCCACCATTTTTGAGCGATTTTGGAGTTAACTTCCACCATTTTTGAGCGAGTTTGGAGCTTTTTGAAGAGGATTGAAGAGGGATTCAAGGGGAAACACTTGGAGGTAAGATTCATGGACTTAATACTCGATTCTAATGTGAATTATACCTAATTAATCATGGAAATTAAGCCTAAAATTGAAGAACTAGGGCTTGTAGTTGGAGACCTAGAATTTGGTATTTGAGGGGTCGTTTTGTGGTTGGATTTTGATGCTTTTGGTATGAATGAACTCGGGGAGTGATAAAGAGTCCATTGATGTGATTTTTATCGGAATCCGAGACGTGGTCCCGGGGGCCGGGTTTGGCCAGTTTCGAGATTTGTGTTGTAATTTGATTTCTTTCGAGTGGGCTTGGTTCCCTTAGCATATTTTGATGGTTTTGCACTGATTTTGGTTATATTTGGAGCATCAGGAGGCCGATTCGAGGAGAAAAGGCATCGCGAGCTAGAGATTTGGACCGGGTAGAGGTGAGTAATGATTGTAAGTATTGTCCTGAGGGTATGAAACCCCGGATTGCACATCATTGTGCTATATTGAGGTGACGCACATGCTAGATGACGAGTGTGAGGTCGTGCACTATTGGGGATTGTGACTTAATCCGTCCTGAATGACTATTTTACCCCGTATTTGACTGAAAACTATTTGTTATCATTATATTTTGGGTTGAATGCCATATTTGGGCCTCGTGCCAACTATTTGAACCCTTAGGGGATTTTTACTGATATTTCTTCACTGTTTTGACTTTATACTTGAACTCAGTCATGCTATGTTCTACTATTTTCATAACTCAGCCATGTTTACTCTGTTTTAACACTTAAATGATATTTTGGGTGAGCACCATGTTTTACTGTTGCCCGAGTGGCTTGTGAGATTCTGACTGAGTAAGGCCGAAGGCCTATGTTGTGAGGAAACACTGATTATGATCATGAGGCCGAGGGCCTGAGATTTGTACGCCACGAGGTGGCTTGTCGATATGAGGCCGAGAGCCTAGTGATTATGCCACGAGATGGATTTATATTGCGCTTGGGCCGTAATGGGCCCCTGTAGGAATCTGCACACCCCCAGTGAGCGCAGATACCTATTGTGATGTGAGATATAGCCCGAGGGACTTGTGTTGTTCTATGATATTGCCCGACGGGCGAATTTTGTTGACATTGTGCCCGAGGGGCGATCCTTTATGTGTTTATCTTTTCTAGTTGCCTGCCTTTTACTTGCTTAACTATTTAAAAAGGAATTTTAAGAAGCTTAAACTGAACTAAAGTGACTTTGCATAATTTCACTGTTTCATGACTTTTACTGGCTTTTACTGCTTCCTTATAGCCTGTAATGTGCATTATGTGGTTTTCTTATTTCTCAGTCTTTATTTATGATTATTACTCACTGAGTTGAAGTAATCACTTTACTCCCTGCACCCTGTGTGCAGATTCAGGCGCTGCTGATCCTGCTTGCAAGGGTTGAGAGCTCCCGGCAGATTTGGGAGTTCACGAGGTAGCTGCTCGGTGTCCGCAGCCTCATGCTTCTCCCCTTTATCTCATTTCTTTTCTCTTGTTAGTGATTCTGTAATAGCTTTGTAGACTCTTCAGACTTGTAGTATATTGATAGATGCTCATGACTGATGACACCTCGGTATCGGGTTGTGTTGGTTTTAATTCCGCAAATTGTACTGTTCACTGCTTATTTTGAGATTTTATCATGTTTAAGACTTAATATAATATTTTAATTGCTTAAAATTAAAATGGGTATGTGTCGGCTGGCCTTGTCTTCATGAGAGGCGCTATCACGACCGGGTCCGGGTTTAGGACCGTGACAGCCTTCTAGAAAGTCATATAAATAGTTCAATAAAATATAAATAGCTTGCTGAAAGAAAGCTCAGACTTGAAGCGGCAAGTGCAAAAAAAATCCACAAAAATATTATATTCATCCAGCGGGAACTTACCTGACTATCGGCAATATCAATCCCAACATCATATCCAATCTTTGCTTTATCTCATTTAATAAGATCATCACCATGGTTTAAATAGAAAGACATTTGAACAATGCGACTTGTTTATTACCACCTAAATAAATTAACAGGTCGTACTGCCAGATAATTGAGATACACAATAGGCAAGAACTACCTTCCCGCAAGCAAGATTAATGACTGCATCCCCTCTTTTGGCATAAAGTTGAATCAAGACATTGTTGATCTAACATGCCAGAAAACCTTATTAGTAATGAACTATGCAGAAGAACTTTTCCCATGAACTTTTTAAATGAATGATTGGCGTGCTTCGCGCTCTTCAAGAGTTTGGTTGGTCCTTGCGCTGTAACGATAAGCCAACTTCCTAGCAAAGATTTTTGTACTCTCAAGATGTGTTTCGCCTGACACCGGTTCAAACTTTATATCAAAACGCAATAGAAAACCAATTGTAGCAAAACTCTTTAGCAGCTAAAATAACAGTAAAATTCTCTAACTTTCAGGGTACTAATATGACGATGAAAGCAAATGTTCTATATCCATACAATACAAATACAATGTCAATAATCAAGTGAGATTTGTCTTACCAAAAAAATATGAAAAAAATACCTTCTGGGTTGTGCTCTCAGAGTTTGACCCATTCTAAGTTTCAATCATTGCATTTTAACATAGTTAGTTTAAGACCTTGGAATTAAAAAAAAAATCTAAGCAATTCAGTCCATTTAAACATTTATAAAACCTCTTGCCAAGAAAAAGGAAGAAGAATTTTTCAAATAATACAAAAATATAAATTGAGAATAAGCAAAGAGAAAAAAGCAGAAAGAAAGATAGATTGGGATACAAGAATATAAATTGAGAATAAGCAAAGAAAAAAAAAGCAGAAAGAAAGAAAGTTTGGGGGCTTTGGTTTTAGGATCTCAGCGGTTTCAAGAGGGGTTTTTTTTTAAATTCTAGCAGTTATTTTGGCTTTTGAAGAGAAATTTTAGAGTGCAGTAAAAAATGAACCGTTTTTTGGCACCTTCTTTTTGTTTTTACCTATTTTCTAGTCTTCTATCTATAATTAAAAGTAGAAAAAAAAGCAATCTCATTAAGCCAAGTGGCATAACTACAAAAGGCCAAGTAGTATTGTTAAGACAAAATAAACTACCTTTCTAACTAAAAAAATATTTTGAATTTTAATTTTGAATTAATTGGTTACTTTATTTGAATTAATAAATATAAATATCTTATAATTATCTATAATAAAAAACGAAAATATGTATAAAAAAAATACCCATTCAAATTATGGAGTACTTTCAAGTTGAAGTTCTAAAATTATTTTAAAATAAAAAAATAAAAATCTATCTATAATTAAAAGTAGAAGAAAAATGCAAACTCATTAAGCTAAGTGGCATAACTACAAAAGACCACGTGATTTTGTTAAGACAAAATAAACTACCTTTCTAACTAAAAAATATTTTGAATCTTAAATTTTAATTAATTGGTTACTCTATTTGAATTAATAAATATAAATATCTTATAATTATCTATAATAAAAAACGAAAATATATTAAAAAAACTACCCATTCAAATTATGGAGTACTTTCAAGTTGAAGTTCTAAAATTGTTTTAAAAGAAAAAAAGAAAAAAAGAAAAAAAGAAAAGAAAAAATAAAAAAATTAAAAATTCAAATCGAATGGATAACAGTTTCTTCCTAATATAGTAGTTTCTCTCTCTCTTTATATATATATATAAAGAGAGAGAGAGAGAGAGTAAAGACCAGACTGGTCGTTTTGAGCTCTAGCATGTCGTTTGGTGATTTGAGGCCTTGAGTAGCTTCACTTCAGGTATCATGACTAGTTTCAAATAATTCTAGTAGTTATTTTTGCTTTCAAGAGCAATTTTGAAGTGCAGTAAAAAAATGAACCATTTTCTGGAGCCTTTTTTTGGCCTGTTTTCTAGTTTCAAATAATTTTAAACTCCAATTTTTTGGAGATTTGTCCAAAATATGTCACTTGTTGAAATGTGATTGCCACAGCAATTACCAAGTTAGCAACCACAAAAATGCTCTGTTTGTCACAAGCAGATTCAAACTCCAAAAAATGAGCAAATTACATCGCTGAATCGACCCCGCTTGTGTCAAAGACCAAATTTTACCAAAAAAAGAAAATAAATTTTCCATTATTCAGAATACCTTGATTAACAGCAACAGTACACAAGATTGGTTAACAGCAACACTCCGCTTGTGTCAAAGACCACATGTTTCTCACATTCCAATTCTCATATGCTAAAGGGTCCAACTCAGTCCATTATAAACTAACTTTGATCAAGATGGATCATGTAGCTCAGATAAAAAAATAACTTGACACTTAATTACTTACACAAAGGAATTGATAATTAAACAAAACTAGAGGGAAAATCTCTAAAGTCCCTCCCACTGTATACCATATTTTAAGCCAAAAATTCTGGTAGCATACTAGACAAACCAATAATCTGGTTCCAGAACCATCTTAAAAATGACAGCTTGAAAATAGAGACCTTTAATCTATTTAGCTATAAAATCAAATCATGATACACTACAATAACAGGAACTGCTGAATGTAACAAGGAAATATATAATTATACACTCCCTCATCATTGTAAGCATATTTTCATTGAATCAAAAGGAGAATTACAAGAACGAGAAAAGGAGATAGTACCTTAGCGGCAGTAATACAGTCCCAAATAACCAAGTAAAGATAGCGATGAAGATGAATAGAACTTTATAAATTGGGAACAGGAAGTTCAGCAACACACAGTCCATTCACAACTTCATACGAGCCCAGAGAAAGGAGGAAGTCGAATTTTAACATTTCAGCGACCAAACTCCTTTTCAGATCTTCTTTGAAATTCGGTTTTTCTAGTGCTTTTGGTCTCCAAGCTTGTCAGGTCTTTGTTTCCATTTTTCCAAGGTTAGAGATGAGATAAAAAAAATCGAAGAGAAAGGGGGAGCTGATGAATGCCAGATTTCCAGTGATTTGGTAGCTGTGAGGAAGTGATAGATGAAGAAGGGGAGTTAAGTGGCGTGTGCTGAAGGATTTGGTGGTGAGGAGGGTGAAGCCATGGTTGTTGGTTTGGAGAGGAAATGGAAGGGTCTCCTAAAGCCTGTGAAGAAGAAGACATTTCAAAAAGGGGCGGGGGGGGGACTCTCTTCAGATCTGCCGTTTCCTAAGGTCTGAGGGTAAGGTCTGTTCTCCTTAGGTCTAGGTTATTAGGTTAGTTTAATAAGAAAGAATTCGGGTCTTGGGTCGGTTCGGGTCGGGCAGGTCTTTTTTTGGAACTTTGAGTGGTTTGGGCCAGATTTTGGGTATAAGAACAACCCAAATTTGAATTAAAACCCCATCTTTCAAATTCACTTCTTATTTTCCTTTTTCTCTTTGTTTTTCTTTTTCTTTTCTTTAATTTAAAATCCTAGATTATCTAAAAATGTGAAATTAAACTAATTAACTAATTATAAAAATTATAAAAGCTACTTAATCCTAAATTAAAAGAGAAAAAAATCAATAAAAGGAAAAAGTGTAAAAATAAAGCATTTTTTGTGATTTTCAATTTTTATAAAACAAGTAACTACAAATTAATCTTAAAAATGTAAAAATAAGGCCTAAATGCCATGCGTGACATTTTGGTATTTTTCATGATTTAAATAAAACTTAAACATGCACAAAATGCAAACAATTAAATAAAACTCTACAAAAATTCCTAAAATGTCAAATAATTAACAAAAATCTATTTTCTTGGGATTTTATAGGAGTATTTCGTATAGGGCAAAAATCATGTGCTTACAACTGCCCCTCTTTGCTCGGAAACACGATGGGTATTCGGGCAAAGATAAAATGAGCAATTATGAGAGATTTTTTCCCGTTTGAAATTCCATGAGAAGCATTTTTTGGAAAGAGCCTGACCAAACCTTGCTTCAGAGGTTGCCTACATATCCTTGGCTATAAAGGAATCAGGTCAGTGTAGTTCTGAAAGTTTCGGTAGCTGGGACTACCAGAAAGCTGTGATTTCACTGTTGTTGCTGCTGCTACTGCTTGCTGAACTCCTTATTACACCAAAATAAAAGATGAAAAGCTAATTCTATCAACTACGAGTTACAAGATTCCTATCTATAAATCTTCTGGATCTTGATCTTGAGTCTTGGATGGTTCTTCCTGCAGACTCTGATCTGAATCTTGATGCTTGTTGGCTGCAGCCGATAGTTCATTCTTCTTCAGCTTTTCGGATCAAGGCGGGACTTGGAGAGCTTGTGACTTCAATCAAATTTTGAGTAGTCCGCATCTTTTCTCCGCTTCTGCACCTTGAGTTCAACTTCTTTCCTTGTTTCTTCTTTTCTTTTATTTGGGTTGAGACTTCCTCTTTTGGTCATCTCAAACCTTGTGCCTCAGGGTGAAAACCTGTTTAGGTACTAAAGCAAACAAACGAACGAAATTTCTGCCCCAGTTTTCACTAGGAAAATTTCGCGAGTTATTGCAACAAAATCTAAACTATTTCTTTATTGAAAGCAATAAAATCTGGATTGTGTATCCTTGGGAAAAAGAGATTAGGGAGTGGAGTCATATATCTATACGAAAAATCAACTAGGAAGTGGAGACCCTATGTGGGAAAAATGACTAGGGAGTGGAGACCCTATGTCTAAAATAAATTCAACTAGGGAGTGAAAACCCTAAGTTGGAAAAACGACTAGGGAGTGGAAACCCTATATCTAAAATAAACTCAACTAGGGAGTGAAAACCCTATGTCTAAAATAAACTCAACTAGGGAGCGGAGACCTATGTTGGAAAGACGACTAGGGAGTGGAGACCCAATGTCTAAAAATAAACTCAACTAGGGAGTGGAGACCCTATGTCTAAAAATAATCTCAACTAGGGAGTGGAGACCCTATGTTGGAAAAACGACTAGGGAGTGGAGACCCTATGTCTAAAAATAAACTCAACTAGGGAATGGAGACCCTATGTTGGAAAAGCGACTAGGGAGTGGAGACCCTGTGTCTAAAATAATCTCAACTAGGGAGTGGAGACCCTATGTTGGCAAAAGGTGACTAAGGAGTGGAGACCCTATGTCTAAAATCTCAACTATGGAGTGGGGACCCTATGTTGGCAAAAGATGACTAGGGAGTGGAGAGCCTATGTCTAAAATAATCTCAACTAGGGAGTGGAGACCCTATGTCTAAAATAATTTCAACTAGGGAGTGGAGACCCTATTTTGGCAAAAGGCGACTAGGGAGCGGAGACCATATGTCTAAAATAATCTCAACTAGGGAGTGGAGACCCTATGTTTGCAAAAGGCGACTAGGGAGTGGAGACCCTATGTTTAAAATCTCAACTAGGGAGTGGAGACCCTATGTTGGCAAAAGGGGACTAGGGAGTGGAGACCCTATGTCTAAAATAATCTCAACTAGGGAGTTGAGACCCTATGTTGGCAAAAGGCGACTAGGGAGTGGAGACCCTATGTCTAAAATAATCTCAACTAGGGAGTGGAGACCCTATGTTGGAAAAAGGTGACTAGGGAGTGGAGATCCTGTATCTAAAATCTCAACTAGGGAGTGAGGACTCTATGTTGGCAAAAGGCGACTAGGGAGTGGAGAGCCTATGTCTAAAATCTCAACTAGGGAGTGAGGACTCTATGTTGGCAAAAGGCGACTAGGGAGTGGAGAGCCTATGTCTAAAATCTCAACTAGGGAGTGGAGACCCTATGTTGGAAATGCGACTAGGGAGTGGAGACCCTATGTGTAAAAATAAATTCAACTAGGGTGTGGAAGTCCTATGTTGGAAAAAACGTAACTAGAGATGGGGGACCCTAGGCTACCATGATTTTGAACTTTTCTTCTTCTTCTTCTTCTTCTTCTTTTTTTGTTTTTTTTATTTTTTTTTGTTTTTTTTTATTTTAAGAAAATGAGTAAAAATGCAGGAAAGAATTTGGAGGAAACTTCCCTTTTTGATTGATTATTGTTGCAAAGCTGTTTCTAGACCTTGCACAATTTCTCTTTGGTTGCACCTGTTTCTTGCAAGGTTACTTTTGATTGCACCTGTTTCATGTTTTCAAACAAAGAACAATTGTTAGTTTGAAACGGTGGTTGGTTTTGTGGCCTTGATTGTTTTGATCTCGGTCCGTCTTCTTTGATGAAGATCTCAATTGCAACCGCTCGTTTCCTGGGGACTGATTTCACTTCAGGCCCTGAGAACCTCTGTTTTTTTCTAGATTTTGCCATGACGGCTGGTCGGTGGAACTCAACCTTTTCGAATTTATTTTGCCTTTGTAGGACTTTCCTTTCTGACTTCTTTTCTTTATTTCTTTTTTTTTCTATTTTTTTAAACTTTGGAGCATTGGGGAACTTTTGGCTCCTCAAACTTTGCTGCAACGGCTAGTCGCGCGGGATTTTACCTTTTCCAACTTTGTGTCGCCTTCATAGGCCTTTCTTTTCTGGCTTCTTTCTCCCAACTTCAAATTCAGAGCATTTGGGGTACCTTGGATTTTTTTTCAACTCTTTGCCGAGACGGTTAGCCACGTGGGACTCAACCTTTTCAACTTCATTTGCCTTTATAGGCGCTCCGTTTGATTATCTCTTTTTAAGAGTTTTGATTTCGAACTATCGGCTGCCATGGCTAGTCGGGGTCGACTTGATGCCCGTGACGAGGCTGGGTGCCTTTCTGCACATTAGCTCGTGCCAAATGAGAACCATGTAAATCAGTCTTGTCATCCTTTCTTTTGTCTTAGTTTCGGAACAATGTTAGACCGAAAGGGATTCAAAGAAAACAAACAATGGAATAGAGAATGAGTTTAAAATAAGAAGTGTCCCTTTCGGGGAAAGGAAAGAAGGACTTATCTGGAGTACATGCGAACTTCAATGAACATGGCATGCCTTTTGGACTAGATGCCTGATCTGTGTAAACCGTCCGACTCTCAGAAATTCATCACAATTTTTGCCTCAAAATCGAGAAACCTTGCCAGGACTCTGTCGGTACCAATGGCTATGAGGATCCTCTTTTCTATCAGGGGCGCCCTTTGCGGGTTTTCATGAGCTGACATCTCTCATTTCTCTTCTCACCATCGCCTTATAGTGTTCTTTGCGATTTTTCACTAACAAGACTCTCTCATTTTGATTTCTTTGCTTACTGTCTCCTCATGGTGCCCGTGTGGGTGTTCACCAATAAGACTCTCTCATTTTATTTCTCTCATTTTGACTGTGTCGGATCTAAGCAACTGCATTCTTCGGTCCTTGAACATTCTCACCGATTGATCGGAAGGACTTGAACAGGGTTTGGGTAAAAAAAGATTTGGATTGAGTTACAACTTTGGAACCTTTTGGGCGGGATCGTTGCCGAACCATTATAACATCTGCCCTAGTTTTACATTTTGGGGGACTTTGGATTTTTATTTTGGTGTGACTGAACCCCAGAGAGGCTGCCTACGTATCCTTTCGGAATCAAGTCGAACATAGTTTAGGGAACTTTGTTTTTGATTTTCTTTTGTTTTTCTGTTTTGTTTTGTTTTGTTTTGTTTTCTTCTTCTTTTTCCTTCCTTTTTCATTTTTTTTCACTTCATTTTCTTTTTCTTTTCTTTTCTTCCCCTTTTTTTGTATCACTCTTTTCTTCTTCTTTTTTCATTTTTCATTTCATTTTTAATTTTCAATTTTTTTTCAATACACTTTCAGGTTCCAAAGAGGGTAATCAAAGAGGAGTAACCGGCTCAAAGGGTTTGCAAAGGGTTGAATATTTGGATAGTGAGAAAGAAAGCCTTCTTCATCCCAATCGGAAAACATTAATGCTATGTAGAGGATCTAACATAGTACCTTTTGACTGCATTTGCATTGACAGTTGTTTCAGGGACATTTCCTTCGATGTTTTCCAGGTACAACGCTCTCTTTGGTAGTACCTTTGTTACCATGTATGGATCTTTCCAATATGGAACCAATTTTCCTTCAGATGTTCCGAATCTTTGTTTTATTTCCTTAAAATTATCTTCATTGCGATCTAATTCTTGATTTATTATTTTGGGGTCTGACAGCTTTCAAGATCTGGGCATGAAGTCCGTAAGCATGTCATGTTATTGAAATCTGCATTTAACAAAACTAAAAAGAGAATAAGAAAAAATGACAAGATTAAGAAAAGAGACATTCCTGGACAATAAAATAT